TTATAAATGAGGCCCCAGGTCCTTTGTTGGCCTGTATGAGCACCTGTGGCGCTATCGTGGAAATCTATAAAGATCGCGTTTGTCTCCTCCGCGCCTCTGACCACTTTGGTCTTGGAGGCCTTACCAGGACCCTTCATGTAATACAGGGCTCCATCTGTAACATAAATTGTAATATTCGTTGACATCAAATAAATGAAACTTATACAATCCGCATATTGACTTACAAAAGTTTGTGGGGTGGCTATGATTAGGCTACTTAAACAATCAATCCAAAACTCACCATCCAGGACATAAGTGGAAGCCTTTCTTCTTATGTCATTTTTAAATGTCTTTGTGCTGTCTAGCGGATACTGGCCTTTACGCTTGTAATCGACAATGGTTTGGTACAAATTATTATCCATTTTACCAGAAAAAGCTTCACGGTGTAGCTGTCGGCTGTACCGCAAATTGTTTTTCGCTCCGTCACTAATGACTGTGGGACGCGGGAACGAGTGGGGTGCGCGTGTGCAAGTTGCTTGTGTTGGTAATGCGCAAAAGCCATCCAGTAGACAGACATGTGCGCATATATAAGATAATTACCTGCATTACATTCTTTCTTGATCTGGGCTATAATATGGGGAGACTGCAAGGTTTCTTATATTAAACTTTGCCTATAAAAATGCCTATACCATTTAACCCTTATGTTGTGTTCAGCAGAATTGTTGTGGGTGACTCTGGGTCAAATTTGGCCCTATCAAGATTAATCTTTGACTTTAGACACCCCACCAGGGTGGGAATTTCACGACGGCCACGACCCGTCGTGGCCGTGATGCCCTGTGAAAAAAAATGCAATTCACGGCCAAAGTGGCCTTGGTGCCCCTGTCAAAAGTTCCAGTGTAAACAACGCTAGTAAAGTCATATTAGTGCGCGCAGTAGGATAGTCCCGGGCGATGCCTGTGCCCTGTGGATCAGAGCGATTGCTCTGCTGTGATTGTTCCGTCAGAAATGCCTGTAGGGGCCCGACAGCCTCCTCCTCAGCCGCGGGAGCAAGACAAGCACAGGTAAGCAAGCGGACCAAGCTGTTTTGATATGATTTAACTGAAGTATGTGGTAGTATTTGAAAGGACTTAACATTTACGTGTTTATAGAAAGTACTATTGATAGGTAATTACCATTGTATTAGCCTATTTAAAGTCGACTCGTTACATTTTGTCATGAAAACTAGCGATAGCTAGCTAGTTTGGATAGCGCTAACGTCTTCCCTTCAAGGGGTCTACATCTAGTGTTGCTTCTACAAGCTAGCAGATAGCTGTCACCTTTGAATCTAGTATTTTTCTTGCTAAGCGGTTTTGATATAATACATGACTGACTTATGTGGTTTATGGCTGAACTTAACGTATACGTTAAAGAAACACTATTGCTATTCAGCCATTTGTAAAACGACTGGTGTTGACGTTAGTGCTACACTTTTCAGTCATGTTGATTGACCAGCGTAATTTAACCAAACGGCCTTTGTGCCCTGTCATGTGGCCTTTGTGCCCTTGAAAAAAATGTGAACGGGAAGGCCAAATGGCCTTGCCCCTAAAATGACGAAATTCCAAGCCTGCACCCCACCCCGACCCCCTTCATCCATCCACTGTAACAATATATTTTTTGCAACATGCACCTGGTCTTCCATGCCTCTGCCCCCCACGGGAACTCGACCTTTCACAAATAATATGTACACTAACACTTGAACCTTAACACACACATGCACGTGTGCAATAATTCAATTACAACAGGATTGTATGGTTAAAAATGCACAATAGGTTAGTTATGATGGAGTTAAAACAATATTGGATGATAGTGTTGGAGCACCACCCAGTGGCGTGGTTGAAGGTTCGATTCTGCTCCGCGCCGATCGTTTGATGAGTAGTCTTTTCAAGGAAAGGACTCGAACACCGCGTTATGAGATAAGCAATAAGCTGATTTAATGGTAAAAGCAACAATACAAAATAAAGAGTACTCTGCAACAGCACAAAATACAGAGTACTCCGGGCTGAATTCTACTACCGTGTGATAGACGTATCAGGACAGTCAGTCAGAAGACAGCGCCGAGTATGAACATTGGGACAGCTTAAATAGAAATTCTGTGGGAGGGGTGGTGTAGGTTGCTCCTCCCTAGCTATTTGTTATTGGCGATTTCACTTCTGGGCGAGCCCTAGACAGTGAGTTGGTAGTTCTCCATTGGCCGGTTTAACTTCTGGGCAAACCCTAGGCAATGAGTCAGCAGCCGTTGACTCCGTCTGGTTCGCCCCACCTTCTTACATTAGCTAACACACAATATCACTTCACTGCAAACATCGCTGCTACAACCCGTTGCTGCAGATACACGCTTTACAACATCAGGAAGATACGTCCCCAGCTGACTCAGAAAGCGACTCAGGTTCTGGTCCAGGCTCTCGTCATCTCACGCCTAGACTACTGCAACTCCCTCCTGGCTGGTCTACCTGCATGTGCCATCCGACCTCTGCAGCTCATCCAGAATGCAGCGGCTCGTCTGGTCTTCAACCTTCCTAAATTCTCCCACACCACTCCGCTCCTCCGCTCCCTTCACTGGCTTCCGGTAACTGCTAGAATCCACTTCAAGACACTGGTACTTGCTTACCATGCTGCGAATGGATCTGGCCCTTCCTACATCCAGGACATGGTTAAACCGTACACCCCAGCGCGTGCACTACGCTCTGCATCAGCCAAACGACTCGTTGCGCCCTCGCTGCGAGGGGGACCCAAGTTCCCATCGGCGAAAACACGTGGGTTTGCTGTCCTGGCTCCAAGATGGTGGAATGAGCTCCCCATTGACATCAGGACGGCAGATAGCTTGCACATCTTCCGGCGCAAACTGAAAACTCATCTCTTTCGACTCCACTTCGAGCGTTAGAACTATTAACGAAGCACTTTTATACTAATAAAGGACTGGCTTACCTAAAGCCAGTTGAGTAGCACTTGAAATGTTTGGCTCTATGAAACCTGATGTACTTATATGATTCTGTTTTCTTCAAGGTTGTGTCTTCCTGGTCGAATGTACTTATTGTAAGTCGCTTTGGATAAAAGCGTCAGCTAAATGCAATGTAATGTAATGTAATATCACATGTTCTGCCTCTCTGAAAGCTATACTTGTATATGTTTAAACGTCATCGTCTCATGACATCCTTAGGATTAGTTAACTAACAAAGGTTAACTGTTCTTATACCCTAAGGCCTTCTCTGAACTTCCTCCAACCTTGAAGTCAGCTCACTTAAAATGAATACATCTATTGATAATTCAGAACGACCATTGTCTTTCTAACTGTGTGACTCAATTCAGTAACACACATCTTATATATCAGGTGACATTAAAATGAATATACCAGACATACGCTGTATTAAACTTTCTGCTATAACACTTTACTTTAATAGTCATTATTTTGGGGTGTTTTGGACTGAGATAAATCATGGGTCAAAATTGACCCGCGAACACCATGCGTAACAGCTTTCGAAAACAACACCACGGTTAAAGATCAATATGACATGTTGTTCGCACTGACTTTGATTGCTTACCATGTCACTGGACTCCAATCTTCAAAATGAATGTTTATATTATGTGTGATAATGTACACAATTTTAGTATGGATAATATGTCACTTTATTTCTTTATTTCATTCAACATGTATTATTAATTACTGTGTGTATGTAAATGTGTTGGACAATTGCAGGACTACCCCTCACTCCATATTTGTTTTATTTCTGACAAACCAGGCCTGTCATAATGAATGAAAACTTTATTACAGACTCAGGGTCCAGATAAAAGACAAGACATTACATAGATAAAAGACAAGACATTACATATAATAAATTACATACACAGCATAAAAATAATTCATAGTTTAAGAATAATTTAAATCAGTGTCCTACAAAGAGACAACTATACCAATGTCTCCACAGCTAAGATTGGTAGCGTGTAGTACTAAACCTTATGTTCGATAAGGCCAAGAGGATTTCATTATCACAGTCATTAAGCCGGCAAATACATTTATACATAGGATTTCTTAAAACAGCTTGTAGAATATTGACTCCTGCAGCCACAAACATTTCACTTGCACTAGACCATCGAGGTCTCTTCAGCAATATTCTCATGGCATCATTATAAGCTACTTGAAGTTTCCGTAAACTTGCTTTTCTGTAGTTTGACCATCATAAAAAGCACCCCCCTAAAAAAGATGGTTCTCTTATTCCCACCCTCAAGCATTTTTCAGGGTATGGTTGTAGGACTAGTACCAATGAATGGAGCAAGTTTCATGAATGTGAGACTTTTATTTTGTAAGATAGCAAGGGGGTGCATATTGTGATAAGCAGGCCGGTCATAAAATGCACCCCACCCAAAAAGATGTTTCTATTCATCCCACCCTCAAGCATTTTTTAGGGTATGGTTGTAGGACTAGTACCAATTAATGAAGCAAGTTTCATGAATGTGAGACTTTTATTTTGTAAGATAGCAAGGGGTGCATAACGTGGCAAAAATATGCTGACAAAGACTATACATTTCTAAACATATATTTTGTTTATTATATGACAAATATGTAAAATTAAACAATACGTAAAATTAAACAATACATTTTAAAGCACGTGTATACAGACAGGACGTCACAATTAAAAAAAAACACATATTAAATACAAAAATTACTGAAAAAGAAGTGACGAATGAATGCAAAATCCAGGATTCGACAAACGACCCCTCAAAATACGGAGGGAAAAGTTTAACCACAAGAATCAAGACTATATGAGCTACCACTAAGCGACTCACAGTCTGTAAATTACCATTAAAAAAGTTTTCGTTTTAAGCATCGTTTTAAGGTCTTAACGTTTCACTTACAAATGCGCATTCCCGTGACATCGGTGCATTTCATGATGGGGTGCGTCATTTGACACAACACCTGGTCCTCCTGTGTAGCCTACTGCCTCTTTAAAAGGCGTGGCGACAGCGTGACAGGACTCAGAAAGAATGCTACGTAGCTAATGAGCCCAATACAACATCCTGAAGTGAAGGCATCTGTCTGAACTTGGAGCTCGAGCCCTGGAAATAAAAAAAAGCTAGAAAAGTAAGAATATTTGTATATTTTGCTTTGTCTCTTACATATATCCGTACACACTACACAGTGTAGGTAGGGGGAGGCAACCAAACATAAGGCTGTTTATAAGTCAGCGTTCTCCTTTACTGTATCGTCAGTCAGCTAGATAACGCTCTCCTCATTATTACACTCAGTCTGAAACATGGCCACAGACGAGCTCTCGTCCAAGCTCAGCCGCCGGCTCCAGATAGAAGAAGGAGCGGAGGAGCCTGTTGCTGTGGACCACTTCGGAACCCAGGATAGTTCGGAAGACAAACCGAGTACAGCCAACGCAGACTCGGAGCTCGGCGCGAAGCTACAGCGAAGAGAGGAGCTGAACGAGGGGCAGGGGGAACACCAGCAGCCCAGCATGAAGGTGTTAAACCCCTACACCGAGTTCAAAGAGTTCTCCCGGGGCCAGATCAAGGACATGGAGAAGATGTTCAAAACGTGAGTGTGTGAGAGTCTGCCACAACACTTCCAGAAACATGTCTAAATGTGAAACATGCCTCCTGCCGCTGGCTGCCATTTGAGCCTGAGAGAAGAGAGAAGTACAGATTGCTCATATAAGGAAGTGCGGGCACGTTGCTCCGGCCGGACACTTCCTAATACACCTATAATGTCAGTGTTTTACTGCCTTACAGTACAGGTGTATTCAGCCAAAAGACACATCTTGAATGTTAATTGTAAGAGAGGCTAAGTGATAGAGTGTTAGTGTTGTTAATGTTTATAGAAAGGCTTAAAGGCAGCAGGAAGTCGGAACTGCTGATCCCAGGGGCGTTGCACTTGATGGGAGATGAGATTCATAAGTGAACTTAAACATAGTTGAATCATTAACAAAATAATCAGTACTGAAAGCTGCTGCTCAATGTGTCTGTCTGATTATAAAGCAGGCTAGCCTAGACCTATATTGGCGAAGCCTCAGTGGTTGCAGGGTGGGGACAGTCAGTGATACGGAAATCAGATAAAGTGTGTGTGGGGGGGGGCACTCATCCTGTAGATGTAATTTCATGATTTATAGTCTTTTTAATAGTTACATTCAACTGCATCCAGATACATCTTAGAATATTACAAAATACTCGCTTAAAAAGCAACTACACATTATCCTGCATGATTATAGACAACCATAACCGTGATTATTTTTGATCAATATTGAGGATACGATTGTTTATCACCATTTTTGTATTGTTTTAAGTGAAAACAAATATTTCTATTGCACTGCCATATTTAAATAAACAGAGCAACTTTCCATGTTGTTATACCATCTAACAAAGGCCTACACATCAGGGCTGTACCATATTAGAAAACATACTTTTAAATGCAATATGTATTGCAATATATAAATATCACAGGAATAATTACTTATAAATTCAACCTTAATTGCAATGCAGTGCTACATTTCTGCCATCAAGTGAAGGACCAACTGGTGGACATCAGTCTCCACCAGTGAGATACTTGCAGCTCGTCCCTGCCTTTTAGAAGTCTGTCAATGTAAGGTAGCAGCTGACTCAGCAGGGGCCGTAGTTTGGACATCCCTGGTTTATAGCCTTGGCTCTGGTTCAGTTGAGGTTCAAATGAAGTCTTACATGGGACAATATGGATAAGTTGTTATGTAACCAGGACTTTATCTGTAAACAGCACAATAGTGATGGAGTCAGTGCATCAGACCGGGTGAAATGAAGATAACTAAAGGAAACTCAAGTTGAAGTCGACTACAGTCATTACTGTAAGTGCAATAACACCTTTACGAGTGGAAAAGCATTGTTTGATCAGTATACCTGTTCAACAAGCTTAACCATGTACACAGGTAGATAAGCATCATTTCTGCTGTGTCTTTCCTGCAGCTATGTTTTACACTAGCACAGCACGCTAGCTCGGCTCATAGTGCATTTTATTTAGTTTTCCACATATCTCAAAATGTGCTTGATTCTCCTTAACTTGGCAGCTGGCTGAGAAGGCATTCACAATCCATTTTGAATAAAAGGTGTCTTTTGATTCTGATGATCCAAACGGAAAGCTCATTTAGATTGATGGAATTAGAAATGAAATCCCCCCCCCAGCAGCAGCAGCAGGAGGGGGACAGGATGAATGACTGATAGTGATTGGAGTCTTGTTGTTTATGCTAGTGTTCTGATTTCACAAATATTATTTATTAAATGGATATTTTAAGTAGAGATGTCCCGATCACCTTTTTTTGCTCCCGATCCGATTCCGATCATTTGATTTTGACAATCTGCCGATACAGATTTTTCCCGATCCGATCTTTATGCAATGCATTAAGAGAGAAAAAAGGAAAAAAGCATTCAAGTTGTCCCTTAAGGTTATTTTTGTATTGAAATGACAGTACCCAGCTATCCATTCTATCCAACATGGATATAGCTTCTTTTGTTCACAGCAGCATTGGATCAGTTCAGTTGTGCAGCATTGGATCAAAACTAAATAAAGCTTATCAGTGATCCACCACAAAATAACCATGTCAACAAATTAAGTGCAGATAGTGCAGTAACAAAACAAAAACAACTCTACTGGAAAGAGGTAGCTTGACTAGCTTCACACGTTCACATTCAGTCAAATAAAAATGTGGCTTAGTGCAGAATTCTAGCCTTAAGACTAACTAGTCTAGTAATAATGCAATGAACAACAGCAGCTTAACATAACATGAATAAACAAAGTATTATATTTCCATCTTACTGGAGTAACACAATTCAATAGTAATCAGCAGCAAACCACTTATTTTTGTTATTCTACAGTATTGTTGTTTTATAGTTATTTGTTAATGTAACCCAATTTGTGTTCTTTGAAATTGAAAAGGATATCGCATTGTGTTGGTTACTTTCGTTGCAGTTGTATATGTCTTAAGTGTAATTTGTCTTGGCTTCCTATTTGTGGACATGCTTTTATTTTGAAGGAGAGGTAGCGCTGTTGACAGGAAGTTGTTGTTGCTTTGGAAACAACGTGACGGAGAGTAACGGAGAAAAGTAACATCTACATATAAAGACGGAGAAAGTAAACGATAACGTTTATGGTTAAGTGTTAGCACCCCCCGAAGAGGCACAAGCTCTGACGTTGATATTGGAGATTTCAATAAATTCAATTTGAAACAAAAACGGGGGAAAAAATGAAAAAACAAACAATCGTATTAGATTGGTCGTGTTGAACGTAGCTCTGTTCTTTCCACCACGCGGAACCTCCGCCTTGCAAACATTGCATCTGGCTGTTACACTGCCTTCGCTTTCAATTTTATAATACTTCCAAACTCCTGACATTTGCTCTGTCCCGACTCCCGAGTCACCAGCTGAACGTAGCCTCTCGTTAGCTGCTACTATTAGACACTGGGCCCACTCTGTTGCCAGATTTGAGAGAAATAAGCAGGTCTGAAAATAAGCCCAACAGAAGCAACACAAACATGATTTTGTGTAATTTTAAACCAAAACTAAGGCCTCAGGATGACTTTAAGACGTGAACATGGTCATTTTTGTTTTGTAACATTACATAAAATAATTTTTTTAAGGATCCCCGATCTTTTTCTCCCGATTCCGATCTTTTAAAAATCACGTGATCGGCTCCGATCCCCGATCACGTGATCGGATCGGGACATCTCTAATTTTAAGTTAGTTTCCTAACAATGACCATCTCTAGCAAGGCACTACAAGCAATCCAGTGCCGGGGAGAGGTCCTATAGGTACAACATCATAATTATGTTGTACCTACTGGTGGATGACAATAAAGACAATCTCTTCTGTTTTATACTATTCTACAAGATCCTCCCACACTGAGCGGCCTTCCTGACCTGCCAAGCAGACAACACACTGCTGAAAAGAAAAGGATTCATAGAGAGAGACAAAAAGATGGTGTCATTGCCAAACAGACAGCGGCTCCCTGATAGTGCTATCTCAATTATATTGTTTTCATAATAATTGGAAGCTACAGTCTGAATTGAAAATACAATGTGGATTAATTGCCCAGCCCCAGGCCCACAACTCAAGCACAGCTGAATGGAATTTAGTTTCAGCCAGCGTTCAACATGAAGCGTTCTAGAAGCAGTGGCCGTTTCTCAATGTTGAGTACACCTGCTGCAGAGCAACTATTTCAAGTATACTACGTCATCGAGTGGCGCCGAAGGACTGTTTAAATGCATGTTAAATGCCCAGCATTCTGCGCCACTCTGACGTAGTATACTTGAAATAGTTGCTCTGCAGCAGGTGTACTCGCGATTGAGAAACGGCCAGTGTGTGTGGGTGAGTGCTTCATATACTCTGCTGATCACTTACACTAAATGAGTTTAACTGTGAGGTCCTGACAGAGTGGAAGACACTTGCCTGGAAGAATGCATAAGAGAAAATGACTTCTCTTATCATCTTATGTTGTGCAACAAAGAGTGTTCTGTTCATTCTGTCGTTTCCTTTGGCATCAGCATTTCCTTCTAGCTGAAGAGCTTCCCTCACAGCAGCGGTTTTGTTTTTGCGTGTGTGTGACTTCTGGCTGTTTCTGTGTGATGCAGATTCTTCAGATTCCTGTCATGAACAGGCCTGTCCTGGGGTTTAAATGCACACGTGTACCGTACGGGTACGTATACTAGGGCTGTGCGATTATGGCAAAAATCATAATCACGATTATTTGGTCAATAATTGATATCACGATTATTTTGACGATTATTCATTGACCATTTATTGAACTTTAAAACAAATAATATTTTACCAATAAACAAGATCAAATATGTTGGAGCGCACTTCCAAAACCATACTAAACATATATTATTAATATGATAAATAAAAATAAATTAGACCAAAATAAATGAAATCAAACATGTTGCAGTGCACTGTCACAACCTACTGAAAACTCCTTAACATATAGCCAACATTTTGGTAAAACATATTCAACATATTCCACTCAGTTAAACGTTGAAGGCTGGCCAACCGTCATGGTCCAGAAGTAACAGGAAATAAATACAATAAATACAATTTAAGACCAAATAAAAATGTAGGCCACCATGGCAAATGCTGGTAGGGCTGCTCATGTCATCTCTTAAAGATTGTTCGCAAGAAACAACAGCCTGTTTACATGGTCTGGTTTCAGAGATGAGCGCAGGCAGGTGACGATATTGCCACCTGTACTGAAGACCCTCAGCCACGCCCCGACACATGGGGTGACGCGGCCAATCACAAAGCTTTGATGCGTTCAAGTGCATTATTCTGGCACAGGAAGATTATGTTACAGGACATAAAACAGAATATTGTTGTTCTATTTTTAGACACATCTCGCGATCGACTGGTTGGGCACCCCTGGGCTAGACCATAGGTCCGTTGTGGTCGCAAAGTAGTCAGCTGAAGCCACATCTCTCTCAACTTCCCCACGGCATTTGTCATATAGTGCAGGCAGCGCAGACCTGCTGAAATAATACCGAGACGGCATCACGTAACGCTTGTCCAACGTGTTGACAAGTTGCTTAA